ATAATTTTGTTGCCATATTAATTGTGTTTGAATATTTTTTCCCAGTTTTCGTACAGTGATATGTTGAGAATGACACAACAGCTCTTAAAGAAATCGCATTGATCGTTATCCTTTACGATTATACCAATATTTGTTGGTTACGTGTATGGTATATGTCAGGATTATTTGCGGTTATTAATAGTCAATAATTAGCAGTGTAATGACTGTGTTACCATACGAACAAGTATTGCCAACAAATAACATTATATAATAGATCAATACCAACATGCGCCTTTAAGTATAATTAAAATGATGACAAAAGAAGGATCTTTGTGTACCAAAAATGTCTCCGTCAGAAAGCTATAAAGATTGGCGCCACTGTACAAAGAGGGAATTTCTTATTTTTCTCTCATTTGATTGGGAAGCTGAATAAACTAAATTAAACAAAGAAAATAGGATAATTGCTTACGTTAATTTCGTCATTAACTCTAGTCGTTAATATGTACAATATTTTAATTAAGAATACTTCAGTTGCATTATAATAGCTATGTTCATACTAAGCCCGAATAATAAAGTAAACTCATTAAAATTTTGTGATAGACATTTTTTGGGTTTGATTCCTATTTGAGATTCATAGCTGAAAGTTTTATTGTTATAAATAGACATATTATTATGTAAAATGTCTTTTTTTGTATTATTCCAAATATTAAAATGATTATATACTAAAAATCATTAATTATTGTTAAAACCCATTATAAGTAATTTATAACTTTTTTTGTTTCATAAATAATATAGTTAAAATATATGTTGTACATTGTATAAATTATTTAACATCCTTTTTTAATTATTAAATATATTTTACTTAGGTTTATAAAATGATATGACTGTTTTGTTAAATTCTATTATATGATTTGTTACGCACAATAGTACCTTTCATTTTGCAGTAAATAATAATATATGCGTAAATATTTTAATGCAGATTGTGAAGCTATGTAGAGATTTTGTTGAATAAATGTGATCTTTAAACATTGGAATTTTGTTTCACTTACTTTTGTTTACAAGACGACAACCCTGAAATTTCCATTATTGTAATTAAGCAAACACGCGTAAACTCCATATTTTATTTTATTTTTATTTATTGCTAAGGTAGGTGGACTAGATCACAGCCCACCTCGTGTTAAGCTGTCACCAGAGCCCATAATCATCTACCACGTCAACGCCGCCGCCCATATTGAAACTTGAGTTCTCTCACTTTAAACAGTGCAGTGGCCGTCCCACCCTTCAAGCCATTATTAATGAGCCATTATAGATGTTAAGCGCATTGTTACTGCTTCACGGCAGAAATAGGACTACAGGCCTGTGCAGGCCCACAAGACGCCCAGACGACCAGTAAGAGAAAACTCATTTTAAAATTAGTGGTAAGTGATCATTTAAATCGTCGTTAAGTTCGTATGTTTGGCGTTTCTTATTGATGTTATCAAAGTAAACTAGTGGCATTTAGCTCACTGAGTTTCTCGATGGATCTTCTCAGTGGGTCGCGTTTCCGATCTGGTGGTAGATTCTGCGAACCACGGCTTTTGCTAGGGTTTGTGTTAGCAACAACGGCAGGTTTGAGCCCCGCGAGCTCACCATTTCGGTGAATCTAGAATAACCCCTCGAGGTTACGATGAGGAGAATAGGTAGAAAAAAAAAGGCATATTACTAACTAGCAACGGTGGGCAACTGGGCACAGCTGCTATGTTACACAATTGAGACTCACGACATTTCTCAAGGTGGGTGGCAGAATTCACCTTGTTGATATCTATGGGTTTTAGTAACTACTAGAAGGCCATGACAACGATCATTTTAAACTATTATTTATTATTTTATTAATTAAATAAATATTTAGCACAAGTACGACCTCGCGTGGAGTATTGCTCCCACCTCTGGGCCGGGGCTCCCAAATACCAGCTACTTCCATTTAACCCCACACATTAGAGGGCCGTTCGGATTTTCGATAATCCCATTCTCACGGATCGCTAGGAATCTCTGGATCAGATCTTTTTTGCCACGTACCATCTGGCTTTGAAATGAGTTCCCCTCTACGGTGTTTTTTATTTTATTGCTTATTTGCGTGAACGAGCTCACAGCCCACCTGATGTTAAGTGGTTACTGGAGCCCATAGACATCTACAACGTAAATGCGCCACACACCTTGAGATATAAGTTCTAAGGTCTCAGTATAGTCACAACGGCTACCCCACCCTTCAAACCGAAACGCATTACTGCTTCACGGCAGAAATAGGCGGGCCCGAGCCCTATGACATGTCCTTTCCTCAAACGAGTCTTGTGAAGAGTACTTAACGGTAGGCAGCGACTTGGCTCTGCCCTTGGTATTGCTGAAGTCCATGGGCGACGGTAACCACTCAGCATTAAGTGGGCCGTATGTTCGTTCGCCTACAAGGGTAATAACAAAAAATCCGTAACGTATAATTTTGTAATGCGAATTTAAAGGTTAGTGATTTTATAGCAATGCTCGATTTCGTGAACAAGTCCTCTTACTGTACCTAGCCTTGATTCCCGCAGTAAACCAAAGGGTAGTGGGGGTGATTGAAAATCAGCACTGTTCGATTTATCGACTTTGAACAGAATAAAAAAAAAGCATTAGCTAAGCCACCTCCTTTTGCCGTTTTTGTTTTCTTTTTTTTATCTAAATGTATTGATCAAAATTTGTGTAAAAGGCAATAAATGATTTTATTAATATTATCATTATATTATTATACTCGATCTATAATGGAGTATTTTTAAAACTAGCAGTCAGTTATTGACTAAAACTTTTTTAAGCATAATTAAAAACAACCTATATCTCCAGTTTTAATACCCAGTTTTTAATTTTTTCCAGCGATGTCACAGAACGACGACGGTAAACAACAGACTATTTTTATAGACTGAGACTAAGTAGAATCATATTATCATCTGTTAAATGTCACATATGTGTCTACTTGATGGCTATAACGACAGCGGGCGTCGTAAAATTAACGACGGTACTACCGGCACTTAAACGCACACACACTTTCGTCCCTATCGGATGTATCTTATAATATGTTTCAGCTCTGTTCAGCCGGCGCGACCTGTTTAATGGATATATCATGAACGTACAGGATCGTAAAAGAAAGGATTTCGGTAGCAATTCACGCCTTGTAATCGAGTCGTCAAATATCTTCGTAGGAGCTGGTGTGGACGTCATTATATATCAACGAATGTATGTGGAAAAAAAAGCGCTGCTTTCACATCATTTGCGTTGGTCGTATGCATTTTGGCCAGGGATTGTTGGCAGAGGGAGTTTGGCTTGGAATAGCACAGCCCCGTCTCCTTTCGTTAGTGTCAAAGGCGATTGACCGGAGCGTCACACCGTAATCTCAATTGTATTGTATAAAGACTGTCTTTTATTTCACATTGGATCGAATGACAGCATCGCGATAGAAATAGGCGGGATGATTGTATCTACCCGTGCGGGATTAGAATAGCCCCTACCAACAATAAATCCCGGTTGGAGTCAGAGAATGCTGTTGCTTTTTCTCCTGTTGATCTTTAGTTGGATTTTACAACATCTGTGGAAAAAGATGGGGTGGTACTATTCTTTGGGATGTGTGGTGGTAAGGTTTGATTTTGGACAATGAATGTTCACTGGTAGGTACACCACGTGTTATTATTGATAGCATCACTAAGTAATGGTAGGCTAAATAAGAAAGTTTTATTTTAAACTAGCTGACCCGGCAGACTTCGTAGTGCCTCAATCGATAAATAAAAGACCTAAACTTTTGTATAAAATAGACTTAAAACAAACAAAAGGAATCCGTCCGACGGGAGACACATCAAAGGAAAAACAAAATTGTTATTTTTATTTAATTCCGAGCATTTTCATATATATATATTTTTTTTTTATTGCTTAGATGTGTGGACGAGCTCACAGCCCACCTGGTGTTAAGTGGTTACTGGAGCCCATAGACATCTACAACGTAAATGCGCCACACACTTTGAAATATCGTTCTAAGGTCTCAGTATTGTCACAACGGCTGCCCCACCCTTCAAACTGAAACACATTACTGCTTCACGGCAGAAATAGGCGGGGCGGTGGTACCTACCCGTGCGGACTCACAAGAGTGTCCTACCACCAGTAATTACGCAAATTATAATTTTGCGGGTTTGATTTTTATTACACGATGTTATTCCTTCACCGTGGAAGTCAATCGTGAACATTTGTTAAGTACGTATTTCATTAGAAAAATTGGTACCCGCCTGCGGGATTCGAACACCGGTGCATCGCTCGATACGAATGCACCGGATGTCTTATCCTTTAGGCCACGACGACTTCAAAACCTTTTCTTTTAAACCTTTTCTGGACTTCCACAAATAATTCAAGACCAAAATTAGCCAAATCGGTCCAGTCGTTCTCGAGTTTTAGCGAGACTAACGAACAGCAATTCATTTTTATATATATAGATATAGATATAGATGACATTAAGGCGTATTTATTAAATTTGTGAAAGAATTTCTGTTCATTATTGATCGTTTGAAAAATATTGGCGGGACCTGTTGCATACCCCTTACCCTGCCACTTCATATATATGTACTACAAGCATCGCGAAGTTTCTCTCAGTTAACGGCTCAAGCTCCACAGCGATGCCCGTCTGGTTGAACTCTGAAACGCGCGAAAATTAGTTATTTTTCGAAACCTTTAACTTTCTGACTTGCGTATAGGTTAGAAATTATAATGTAATTGTTAATATGTAATTGTATGTAATTTTATTTGAAGCATTTTTAGATATTTGAACTTTATTCAGTGGGTATTAGTGATGAAACAAATGAAGATTTAGGAAAAATGTAATAATTTTGTATCGGGTCTCGTTTTCTTTGTGGCTGTTGATTCATTTAAAGGCTTTTTTTGTTGTAAATATAATGAAGTGCTCTATAAAAATGATCATCTTTACGTGTGTATTGGTCTTGCCGATGTTGTCCGGTACGGTTTTAAACAAAACTGTATACAAAATAGGGGTCTTAATGGCCTCTCGGTTGGACTCGCCTTTTGACTTGGAAAGATGTGGACCGGCTGTGGACCTGGGACTTAAGAAAGTGAATGAAAAGTTTCTCTCGCATCACGGAATTGAATTGGAGAAGGTTCAAGGAAGGTATTGTTTTTTATTTATTTATTTTTTACATTTGTTTGTCTAACAATTTATGCTGATTGTTAGCCTATGCGAGCAGGCAACTCGCCATTGTGATTTATGTTTATATTTCAATTTTAGATTTATACAATTCACTTTATGAGTTGTTGCCCAATGCTGAAATTATGCTGACGCATCTTATAACTTTATATCCCACTCCAAAAACGCAATATATTTAATCGAGGGCTTAATAATCCTAATGGAAGAGAGAGAAGAAGAAGAGAAGAAGAAAGATCGAAAATCTGCAGCATTATTTCAACGAATAGTAGCAGTAATATGTGTCGTAAAAATCCTTTAAATAATCTAGCATGTGCCAGCAATCTCAGATGCAATTGAAAAAGTACTTTAACTTTGTCATCCAACAATGAATTTAAATAAAACAACACTAATGCGACTCCAATGTTTTCTCAATGCATCAATGCGATGCTTATTTGTTTAGCCATTGTGGGTAGAGTGAAAAACGTAATGAAAAATCTAGTAAGTCTGAATTTAGAAAATATTATACATCTTGATATTTATTTATTCTATCTGTGTATATGTTATTAAGCCCCTTAAACGAATGGACCGATTTTGATGACTGTTTTGTAGATTCGAGAATGTTTTAGTGATTTTTACAAATCGGTCTACTACAAAAAACATATACACATAAAGTATATACATATATTTTATAACGAAAGTTTGAAATTTTCTGATTAAGACATGTATACATGACAATGTCTGTCAGCTATGTAATTATAAAAAATAATGAAAACGATAATTTTTAAATTACGCATTAAGCACGCAATGAGTACTAGTTCTGTGGCGAATCAGTGAAGCGTCTCGGCTTAAAGGCTAAGACATATTCAATACAGTTAAGATTCGACCTCATGCCTGATGAGTGGCATTCACATTGAGAATTGTACAGGTAACAACATAATACCAGACGAGTCGTGACTTTGTCTACCTATCTTCCTACCTAATTAACTAATTTATTTACCTACCTTATTACGTTACAAAGATTAAATTTCATATTATAATAAAATTGTACAGTAACAAGGAATGGTAAGTACACAAGAAATTTCATCATAAAGAGATTCTGGAAGAATAAATAACTCGTACTTAATGAGGAATTTAATATTTGCATATTCCTCTTGTGTTATGCGTTTTAAGCATTTTTGTCTGAAGCAATTTAAAATTAAGTAAAAAGCTTCATTTTATTCTTTATTGTTGTAACGAGACAGAAAAGCCGATCTAATGGTATCATAGGCCATCATAACGTAAGTTTTTTATTTTTTTTATTGTTTACATAATTGTACGAGCTCACAGCTAGCCTGGTGTTAAGTGGTTACTGGAGCCCATGGACATCTATAACGTAAATGCGCCACCCACCTTGAGATATAAGTTCTAAGGTCTCAAGTATAGTGACAACGACTGCCCCACCCTTCAAACTGAAACGCACTACTGCTTCAAAGCAGAAATAGGCAGGGCGGTGGTACCTACCCGTGCGGACTCACAAGACGTCCTACCACCAGTAAAGCAGACCATGGGCCCAAGGATATTTTTGGGGCCCTATGTGCGGGTTACCATTAGCCCACTGAGTTTCTCGCCTGATCTCCTCAGTGGGTCACGTTTCCGATCCAGTGGTACATTACCTCACCTACACGTCAAGGAGAAACTGAAATAGCCTCTCAAGGCTATCAGAATAGGCAGGAAAAAAAACCACGTACCCTATCAATATTCAACATCCATTATAGGGATTTTAAGTCGGGTCAATACTAAAGGTGTATCGTATTTGTAGTAATTACGTTGGTTTTTAAAGAAAACGCAGCGGTGATCGAAATATAATACTAATAATATAGAAAAGTTCAAAGCGATTCTAAGATAGGTTGAAAGTCGACACAGTAATAAAATTTGCGTTATACCTACTTTAGATTCTGGTACCGTTCATTTTATATGCTTTCATCAAGATTATTAGCTTCACAGTAAAGATTACTTTTATTTTTTGTTTGTTTCGCATACATAATTTAATAGCCAATATAATAGGGAAGAGTTTTGTTCAGAAAAGGAAATCGTTGGTAAAAAATTGAAATCACTATGAAGATTTAACGATTGTGACTGTTGTACCTATTAGCGACTTCTCAATAGCTCGGTTTTTCAACGAAAATCAGTTAAATGAGATGAAAAGAAAGATCAAATATCAAAACTTTCAACCCACTTTTTTTATTACGGGCGATGTCCTTGCTTAGGGGCGCTCGGGGTATGTTAGACTTTTTGCTGATGTTGGGAGCAGACCGCGGGTCCAAGGATGTTTTAGCCCAACGTCATCCACGACTGAATTGTTCCAGCTGAGGCAGTGTTAAGACTCTGCTTATATATAAATATACAGTGGTTTTTATGGATGTGCCGTTATAACTACCGAACCATGCATCCGATTGACTTGAAACTTGGTATCCACGTAGAAAATACATGTACTTAATGGATAGGCTATTATTTATATTATTATGAGTGTTGGACTCCCTAATAATAATGACAATAAATAATAATGTTAATTTTAAATGCGCAGCGAAGCGGTCGAGTACGGCTAGTTATAAATAAAATTACTTTGAGCACCTTAGTCGTCCATGAACGACAAAAACTAAAGTAGGTATTCCAAATGTCGAAAATAATATAATTACATAAAAAAAACACGAGACTAAACCGTTTGATCGTGTCTACGAATCATAGAAACTGAAAGAAATACTTGGCAAAGTTGTTGTTACGAGCGCCTACGTGCGACAGAGGCCGTGATGGTATTTCCACAAAATATAACTTGAAGTCACAAGGAAGCGAGGTTTTGAGTCATTGAATTGACTATATACCAGTTACAATTACAGAATGGAAGAAATCCGTTCTGAATTCGTAACCCGAATCACGTTGCGACGCTTACAATATGAGTTTGCTTGTACAAATATCACAATATATCATATCATTTATGTTTCAAACAATTACATTCTGACTGATTCTACCGAGATATTCAGCCTAACTGCTGGATAGAAGATCCGCCCTTTATGGTTCACAGTGACCATAAACCACTACAATTTCTCAATAATAAATTAATACTATCATCTAATTCATCGCAAGTAATTTAAAACGCTTAAAACCAAACTGAAATTCGTAGTTTAATTTATCGACATGAAAACTACTTTACGAAGTTACTGAACAACTTTACTTCAATTTTTCCAATATTGGTAGCTGTCATGTACCAAAGATGATTAATCGGATCAAGTTTTCTCTTTGATTTCGTAGCTTTGACCTTTAGCCGGGTAAGCGAATAAGAAAATCTTCTTTTATATGTAAAATGATAATTTGATTATATTTTTATTCATTTAAGTCAAACATTTTTGGTGAGAAATGCAATTGTTAAACTGTAAAAGAATGTTTACAATGTCTGCCGGGAAGTAGTAATGTGTTTCGGTCTGAAGGGTAGGGCAGCCGTTGTAACTATACTGAGATCTTAGAACTTATCTCAAGGTGGGCGGCGCATTTACGTTGTAGATGTCTATGGGCTCCAGTAACCACTTAACGCCAGGTGGGCTGTGAGCCCGTCCAAACCCATCTAGCAATAAAAAAAAATGTTTACTGTATACCATACACTCCTCTTGCATTTTGTTAATAGTGGTCGCTGCTTCGCTCGCGTGCCCAAGGAAAAGCGTCAGTATAGTTTCCCGTTGGAATGAGATGTTTTTACGGGATAAATGGGTAGCCTGTATCACCCCTCAGACCTAACACTATCACTTTAAAAAAAGTCATGTCATTTAATGCCAATTAACTAATTATGATTTGTTATGGTCACTAATTGTATCAAAAACATTTATTTTATTGTAATTAGTTACGCGTCATTTATTCCACGTTGATGGTACTATGACAAAAACCTCCCCATTAAACTTCCAACAACTGCACCAAGTTTCAATATAATCGGATAAATAGTTTCGGATCAGATAGATGCCAAACATGCAAAAAATCATTTTTATTTATACTGAAGACTAGTTAAACCCGGTCTGCTTTGCTTTGTCAATCTTTGATTTGGCTTTGACTTGATTATTACCAAACTTTATCGTATCATCTGCTAAGCCAAACTGAAGATTACTTGAAAATTTTATTGAAATCAGTCCGGCCGTTTCGGAGTCTAAAGGGAACATACGCAAATCGACTTTAAATATATAGATGCATGGATTAAATGTGTTTTTCTTTTTTTTTGACGTGTCAACGTCTTATAATTTGATGGAGCCAGCTGCACGCACGAAAAAAAGTGACTCATTGAGGCGTTCCATTTAAGGCTCGAAGTGTAAGCGAGAGCGCGCAACGTGCGACAAAGAGGCACAATCGGCCTCCGCGTTCGGCAGCGTTCGACATCTGTCTCTCTCCTACTTGAGTGAGCGATGCATCTGCGTGGACAGCTGCTATAGAATAATACATTTACATTTTTTTGTCAAGTATAAAGTTCAGTGAAAAGTGAATGTGGTGTCTTGTCCATACAAAATATCTATCAAACAAATAAAATCTTTTGAAAAATGAAACCATTCCATTAGTATTTTCTTATGACGTTGTCACGTTCAACTATCGTCAGTAAACCGACTTTACAGACAACCGATTTTTTTTTTCAATTTTTTTTAATGATCTTTATTTTTTAAAATTTCAAATTGTTCCAATATTTTTAATAGTTACCCATCGTGCTCGGGCGCCATAGCTCCGGGTTTGGCCGCCGATATGCACTTCAAGAACGACGTGATCGCTTTCATCGGACCCGCGTGCGCGTTCGCCTTGGAACCGGTTGCGAGGCTGGCCGCTTACTGGAATACTCCCATCATCACCGGAATGGGGGATCAGGTATGCCTTCGTATTTTTTTGCGCGTTGCTTGAATAGAGTGTGGGTCGGTTCAACTAATTTTACGAAAGCCCATAGCCCTTTAACGGAATATTACGGAATCCCTGAAAGACTTTGAGAGTGGATCGCTAGCGTTTTGGATGGGCGGAGCATTACTGTCGTTATAGACGGCTGCTGCTCAGATACCATGACCATTAACGCTGGCGTTCTACAAGGCTTGGTGCTCTCCCCACGCTTTTCGTCGTGTATATCAATAAGGTGCCTTCCATTGATGGCATGCATTGCTATGCGGATGACGGCATGTGGGATGCGCGATACATCTTCTATCAGAGTCTTTCCCAGAGCGTGGTGCAGGAGAGACGATCTAAGCTTGTGTCTGAAGTGGAGAACTCTCTGGGGTGAGTCTGCGAGTGGGATGACTCTGGGGCAAATCTGCGAGTGGAACTTAGTTCAATTGGATGGTGGCGACGCCCTACCTTTAGTTTAAATAATTTTCTGTTAGTCAGTTTGTTACAACCTGCTACTTACACTTCTGAAACACCACTAACTGGCAGTGGTTAGTAATATAATTTATTACAGAAACAGAAAATAAAACAGAAAGGTTATTTTACTAATATCAAATATTCATTTGTCCAACTCAGATCTGTTGTATTGTGTAAAAAACTAATTATTTCCCATTCATGAAGTATCTTGAAGTCGTATGCTATGCAGTAGTATACTTATGACTTACAACAAAACATTATAATAAAAATACTAGCTTTTCTTTTTTCAAATCTATCGAGATTAATTAATCTCCTTCGATCGTTTCGTAACATTTTTTTTACTACATTTAACTACCCACAAATCAATATGCAAATTTCAATTCAATTCAAGGAAAGTCTAAAAATCTTAAAATAACATAATGCTTTTTCATCCAAAATTTACAAATGAATGAATTCGTAGAATTGTTTATTATTCGAAAGTTCATTAATTTGCGACGACCGAGTTAATTCAAACTGAATATTATTCGAAATCATAAAGTGAACAGTAGCTATGAAAATATTTATCGCTGCACTTGGTGTTGTTTTCAATGTATATACTTCAATTTATGTAAAACAATACTACTGTTATGAATTTATTATTGCAGAATATGAAACAAAATAGGAGTGACGTGCTTTAATTGTTTTTGAAATTGTGTATCTTAGGCCCTTCGTACACAAGGCTACGTAAATCTTAGATACTCGACGATTTTAGTCTCCAAGCGACTACCGCCATAGAAATCCATTGAGGTTCGTACACGAGTCGCGTCGCCGATATTCGTTCCGCGACTCGCGTCATGTCAATCGCGCGCGACCTGCTTGTCGAGATCTTCGCTAAATAAGTCTCGGCGATTTCCAAGATAGCGGAGCAATTTTTTAATAATACATTTATTTCTGAGGTGGAAAAATATCCTTGTTTATATAATTATAAATTAAAGGAATACTCAAAAAAGGAAATAACAGAAAAAGCTTTTCGTAGTCGTAGGAAAGGCCGTTAATATAACAGGTTGGTATATTTTTATAGTTTTAAAAATAGTCAGTACATAGTTTTGTAATGAAAAAATACTTTTAGGCGGTATATTCTTTTTATTAAGCTTTTGTTTTAGGTATTTACTCGAATTTTGTGTACATTTTATTATGATAGCCGATGTTGTAAGCCGGATTGCCGACGCTGTTGTTATGATCTAGGATCATTATCTAGCGTACCAGATATCCGTATCCACTATACCATAAACAATACAACAAGTAATATCTGATGTTAAATTAATGGTATAGTCATTAGTCACTATATAGATAGGCAACTCGCGTCTTGCGATTCATTGTCGTGTGTACGGACCGTGCGCTACTCGATACTCGCGACTTGATACTAATGTCGTTGACAACATTAGTATCGAATATTTGCGTAGCCTTGTGTACGAAGGGCCTTACTGTTTTAATCATTCGTTTTCACGATCGCTCGACCGTCCTTGATTCAATGTTAAGCGACGAAATACGGCAATGTAAATGTAATTACCGTGCAGAATAAACCTTAGTGAACATATAAAATAGATAGAGGTACTTCCAGATTTCCTAGACAAAGAAACAATATATAATAACATATACGTGATAAGGAGAATATTGTTTGTGTTTGTAATTTATAAGAAAAATATAATTTAAAGCTGAGAATATTGAAATCCAGATACTCGATCTACAGCGTAGACACAACGAATTCTGTTAGTTTGATGGCAGGCTAAGCTGTAACACCAATATTGTTTATTAATAAATCTGTTATATAAAGATATGTAAACGTAAAACGGTAATTAGTTAATTTATTTAAATATATCTAAATACATCTGATAGTATCCATATATATCCACAATGGCTTTTTTGTCAGGAAAAAATCGCCGGACTTCTGCCTTCCACTGGGGATGGAAGGCGGGGCATATCCCCACGTCCGAACCTCGCATGACACAGAAGTCATGAAAAGGCAAAGGAGGGAAAGCGAAGCGCTTAGTGCAGAGCACATCTCTCCCATCACCCTCCCCCTTGGGGACAAATTAAGGGGGCTAATATTTAAGAAGGCTTGATTATTTTCAAAAGTAGCAGCTATGTTTATAGTCTAGACATACCCGAGATACACAGAGTCAATCAAAATTGTTTGTTTAAATTGTTAAAAAAAAACAATTTAAATTGATGATATTTATCTCAAACGATCGATTAGAATTTGTCTAAAAAGGAATAACATCTTACACTGCAACTATTCATATTACAATAAAGAGCATTGCATAGTAAAAATGCATTTATTTTAAATTGTTTTAAGTCAGTCAAGGTTTTTAAAACGACGACATTGCGTTTAGGAAGGACATTACGACTTCTAGGACGAGGTCTACGAGATTTAGAATGTCGTAGCACGTATGCTACGTGGGCGTAGTCGCGTATCTGGCGTAGTCGCGTAGCTGACGTACCTACCTTTTTTCCTATTTGATTGCTTAAGGAGTGCTTTGCTGAATCCACTGAACAAATCTAGCGAGAAACTCAGTCAGTTGTGTGTGTGGGTTTGACGTACCAACCGGTCATCGTTCTCGAACTCGTCGCTTGCGACGAAAGGCTCGGCGAGTAAATTAACCCACAAACAGCCCACTGAGTTTCTCGCCGGATCTTCTCAGTGGGTCGCGTTTTCGATCCGGTGGTAGATTCTACGAAGCAATGCTCTTGCTAGGGTTAGTGTTAACAACGTCGTCAGGTTTGAGTCCCGTAAGCTCACCTACTAGCTAAGGCTACGCTGAAATGGTTCTCAAGACCATTAGCTTAGGTAGGAAAAAAAAGCCGTACCAAAGAAGATTAATAAGTTTTTAAATAGACTGTTATCTTCGTACCTTTTTCTGCCGCAAAGCAGTAAAGCGTTTAAGTTTGAATAATTGGATAAACCTGCGACTGCGGACATAGTGTAAATAGATATGCAATAACTTTTTAATTCGTTTTGTATTTTAATTACACGATATTCTTCCTTTTGTTAGTGTTATATGCGTTTGTGATATCTATAGTTAGATTTTAAACACTGGTCGTATATTTCTAGACGAATACATCTAGGAATATCAGTACAAATAAACCGAGACTGCCAGACTTAAGTACGAAATGTCGTTCTAGTTGGTGGCAGACATCCGTCCCACGCTTACGAATACATGTATCGTAGTTGTAACTATAATGAGTTGTGTTCTCTCTTTGTGGTGCAGTGTAGGTGAATTTTCTTCTTTTATTGATTGATGCAACGAATCCTTTATTTGAATATAAAAACAGAATTTATGTTTCATCTCTAAACGTACCTAAACCATTTATCCGACCGCATTGAAACTTCGTATAATTGTTGTTTCAATTCTAAGTGAAGTTTTTGTTATAGTATTATATTATTAACGTCTGAGAAGTGGCGTAACAATACTCCAATATTGTTACGCCGGTAAGAGCAACGCCATCTATCGTCGAATAGTAAAAATGAATATCAAAATAACTAGTAAAATCGAGAGCGTTCGAGAAGTACAACGCCATCTATTATCAAATAGCGGAAATACATATCGAAACTACTCGACCGGTCAAGAATGTTCTCGATAATTCGAGGGATGTCGTATCGACTATAAAAGCGTTGCAGAGATGACACGAAGAATGATTTCAAGAAATCGATAATGTAGTGAAAAGAAAACGAATTAAATTACATTAAATTGGTCAGAGCTCCGGAATGAAAGCGGTGTGCCTGTTCTCGGAGAATTGCGTGCTCTCTACCTATTTATTTGAGGGCGATCCGTGTTGTTCGTTCTCAACGCTTGCGATAAATCATTAGAAGCGATCAGGGATTTCAGTGGAAATTGAGTTTACAAAAAAAAAGTTGATTGTTCACTTCTATTCAATCGAGAATTACAAAGGTAGTTAAGTACATTCGTTTGGTGTTTGTTACTAATTCCCACCTGCATTCTCTTAGTGTCTATTTTATTTGTAAAAAGAAGAAATAGTTATTGATTTATCGGAGATTAATACTTAAAACTTTATTCAATTACAACAAAACAATTTAAAAAAATACACGACGTTTGGGCTTAATGGATTACCCGATTAAATTGGAGTTAAATACATAATAATCTTCATAAATTTAATTCTTAAATATATTTTTTTATTGCTTTGATGGGTGACGAGCTCACAGCCCATCTGGTGTTAAGTGGTTACTGGAGTCCATAGACATCTACAACGTAAATGCGCCATCCACCTTGAGATATAAGTTCTAAGGTCTCAATATAGTTACAACGGCTGCCCCACCCTTCAAACCGAAACGCATTACTGCTTCACGGCAGAAATAGGCAGGGTGGTGGTACCCACCCGCGCGGACTCACAAGAGGTCCTACCACCAGTAAAAAGTAGGTAGCGGCATTTACGTTGTAAATGTCTATGGGCTCCAGTAACCACTTAACATCAGGTGGGCCTCGTATAAGCAATACCGCAAAACGACTTTATTATAATATAAA